CTCTTATTAACACTTTCGAAAATTTTCATACTCATATTCCAAGAACTGGATTTTATACGAATTTTTAAAACTTAATCGGCGAAAATTGCAAAATTCGAAAAAATTGTCGATCATTTCAAAAATTTACTTCTCACGAACTAAAAGTTATTTTTCAAAACGGCTTGTTGCATTAAAAAGAGGATACTTTGATTAATTATTGGTGATATTTCCACAAGGATCCTTCAAGAAATTAATTTTATAGCGAATTTTGAAAATTATCGATGAAAATTGCAGCATCAAAAATTTTATCAAAACTTCAAATATTGTTTTCTCAAAAACTAAAAGTTATTTTTCAAAAGGGGTTAGTTCATTGGAAGGAGGACACTTTTATTAACACTTTGGAAAATTTTCATACTCATATTCTAAGACATGGATTTTATACGTATTTTGAAAACTTAATCGGCGAAAATTTCAAAATTTTAAAAAATTGTCTATTATTTCAAAAATTTATTTCTCAAGAACTAAAAGTGTTATTTCAAAACGACTTGTTGCATTAAAAAGAGGATACTTTAATTAATAATTGGTGATATTTCCACAAGGATCCTTCAAGAAATTAATTTTATAGCGAATTTTGAAAATTATCGATGAAAATTGCAATATCGAAAACTTTATCAAAACTTCAAATATTGTTTTCTCAAAAACTAAAAGTTATTTTTCAAAACGTATTGATTCATTGGAAAGAGGGCACTCTTATTAACACTTTGGAAAATTTTCATACTCATATTCCAAGAACTGGATTTTATACGAATTTTTAAAACTTAATCGGCGAAAATTGCAAAATTCGACAAAATTGTCGATGATTTCAAAAATTTATTTCTCAAGAACTGAACGAGATTTTCAAAACGGTTTTTTGCATTAAAAAGAGGATACTTTAATTAATAATCGAAAGTGATAATAGCGACAGTTCTATTAGTAATGTATGTGATGATGAATTATAGCGCAGAGAAGAGAACTAGACGAAACTGCAACAAAAGATTTTATATATCGTATTGGGATTGTTACAATGAGGTTGCTAATGATAAATCTGATATAAATAAAGTTGTATTCATTGAAAAAAGACCTATTGGGGTTGAATTTGATTATTATGTGCAGTGTCCTGTGAATGGTGGAGTACTAAGTAATAGGTTTTTAATATCCGGCCAAAGCCGGATATTTGATAACTATCCGGTATTCGACCGGATTTTAAAAAATACTTGAAAAATTTAAAAACTTTTCAATTTAGAAAAAATGCCAATTTTTACATAAAAATGGGAATAATTAGTTAACTTCTATAGCTATAGTATAAAATTCGTGCGATTTAGTGGTTTGAACATATCCGAGGTATTATTTATGTTGAGATAAGTTTGAAAAATCAGTAATAAATTTTTTTTTCCGCTTTGAACTCGACCCGAGAACTTACTGTATACAGATGAAATAATAAATATCACAATTTCTGCATTTATATTTATTTATTTATATAAAAAAGCAGAAACTTTAAACGCGTCAATTTTACGCAGGCTATACTTCTAGGGTTAATATTACTGTGGAGACTTGCTAATCCAAAGTAATTATAAGACGGACGATTTAGATTATAGAAAAATTCAGATTACTGAGTCACCATTAGAATAATTTAAAAATTGCGACTGTTAAACATTTATTATATCTGTCGAAATAAAAGTATTAATTCCTAAATAGATCTTCAAGTATAAAAAGTATTAGTAGAAGAGATTATTAAATATTAAAAAGAATATAATATATTTAATTTTAAACTTTATTTAAAAAATTAATCGTTCAAAACTTAAAAAAATACAATAATTTATGTAAGAAATTACAATACGGTGATGTAACGGATGTGGGTTTAGCGGATGCGGACCCGGATTTTTTAATTCTAATTGCGGATGCGTAAGCGGATGTGGATTTAACGGATGCGGAGTTATTGAAAAAACTTACATACTAAAATTTTAATGAAAATAATATTTCTATTGTAATTTTCCAATTTTATATCTATATACATATAACACAGAACTCAACAGTTAAAATAATTAATATTCGTAATTTATTACAGGCAAGTTATATTTTAAAAAAAGCAATTTTGACGCTTTTTCTCCTCGAAGATTTTTTCTTTTATCCCTATATATTAAAGATGATCCACTAAATAGCTGTTCATTGGTAAAGCTGCTTGATGGCGTTGATAAATATTGGCGAACAATTGGCAATAAAACAGTATATTTGTACCCATTCTGTCGCCACCACATCAACGGGTCTTCTCCTAAAGACAGCCGTCTTTCTTTAATGTAATTTTGGAGCACAATTTTCGGTGTTGTTAACTGGTCATCTTCTGCCTCACTTTCGCTTGAACTTAGAATGGATTGTACTGACTGTAGTAGCTTTGAACAACTACTAGAATTAGTATCAATTTTTCTTTTCTTATGTGTCTGACTACAATCTTTATTTTCATGAATCGTTTGATTTTGACACAAATTAACTATTGTGGCTTCGACTTCCTTTATTTCAAAACTGTTAAAAAACTTTGTTTTATATCGCGGATCTAAGTACGTAGAAACCGAACATAGCAAATTTTGGTTTAAATCACCAAATCTTTCACTTATTTCTCGTATAACTTTAACGAAAAGTGCTTTGATTTTTTCTGGGGTATTCGGGTTATCTTTCTCAGCTTTTAATGTTGCCAGGATAACGTGCATAAGTGGTATAACCATAGAAATGCTGTTCTTTGAGTTACTCAATTCTTTAGTAAGTTCTTCGAACGGTGTCAACAATTTTAACAACAATTCAATTGTTGACAAATCATCTGGAGAAAATGATACAAATTGCTTTGTAGTTAAGTATAAAAGTAAAGAATCCTTTATTTTAACAAAACGCTCCAACATGTAAAATGTGCTGTTCCACCTGAAATTAAAATTAGTTACACAATATCTGATTTATACACAATCGTTGGCTTACCTAGTGGAACAATCTTGAATTGTTGACAATGGAAATTGCTTCATTCTTATTTCCTGTATAGCCTTTAGTTCATCTTGTGCTACTAGGGAATGATTAAAATGTGTTGAAACTTTTTTCACCTTTTCAATTATTTCTTGAACCCATTCTTCCGATAATATCACATTTTTAATACAACACTGTATTTGATAAATCACACAATTAAAATCAGTGAAACCAGATATCTGCATTGCTTTAATCATGTTGCTGCCACGATCGCGTACCACACAGTGAACAGCATCGTGTTTTATACCCCATTCTTCAAGGATGGATTCAATTTTTGTCGAAATAACTTGACCCGTGTGACGTCCTTCCATTATTTCACATTTCAAAATAATTCTTACTCTTTCAAAACCTTCGTTTACACCATGAGCAGTCAAACTAACTAATGAAGTCCCAGAACTTGTATCAGACCAAACATCAGTTGTAAAGGATATTTTCTCAAGATCTTTTAATAATACTTTAATTTTATTTGCCACGCTGTTATATAAATCGTCACATACAAGCGACGTAAAAAACTGACGGCCCCTCAATTTATATCGTGGAAGTATTGTATTGATCAATCGCCGAAAACCAACACCTTCAACGAAGTTGAATGGTAAGTCTTCCAAAGCAATCATTTCGCCTATTAGTCGATCCGTCTCCTTAGATTTTGGATATGATAAATCCCAACATACATTCTTCGTTAAACATTCTTGTAAATAAAGTTGTTTTGTATTTGAACCTGTGT